CCTTTACACACCACTGGATCTGACACACTGATATTAGCCACTAAAAATCGATTTACTTCGGACTGGAGAGCTGAAGACTTGAGGCAAGCCAGAATGTTTGTCCTCAACAACACTCAGAAATTCCAGCAGGGTTGACGAATCTCTTCGTTCTAATGGTGTTGTACAAGAAACGTCTCATGATTAAGTAGAGGTATTCCAGGACAGGAGCCAAAGCTGAGTGACATTAAGCTGTTTGTCTGAATTACCCAAATACAGAGTTAACCTGCCCTACAAGACATTTGTTTAGAGTTTAAAACAAAAAAACAGCTCACCTTCCAATAATTACATCAATAAGTAGGGTAAAGTACTAATTATCAGATCATAAATAATCAACAAGCTAGAGTGAAATTCCATGAAATGCTGTGAGAAGATTTGGAAAGAACAAAGAACTAATCTGAAAAAGGAAATCAAATTAACTGTGTCCCATTTAGTGGTTAAGTGGCAATCTGGAAAGAGAACAAGGGACAAAAGCGGTTTGGGAAACGATGTGTATCCTTATCCTAAAGTTCACTTCGCAGATCTTATTTGTGCCAAGATAAATCCCACCACAAGTCCTTCACTTTTTCCATGAGTCACTTTCCAAGCGTTCTGAATTGGCCTGGTTCTTATAAGTTGCTTGTGTGCAACTGATGAGCATAAAATGCGTGTCATCTTCAGCTTAGTTCAGTGAAAGTGGCCTTTAAGGGATAGTTCACTCAAAAATGAACATTTGCTGTTAATTTACTGACCCTCAGGCCATCCAACATGTAGATGAAAGAAGATTTTTAGCTGAAACTGTGGTCCTTGGTGAGTCATAAAATGTGGTTTGAGAACAAAGAAGCACTAAACTGGTTCAAAAGAGCGATTCGTGAGCGACTGTTTGCTCTGATTTCACTTTAATAAGACCTCAATATATTGTCAGGAGCCACAAGTATTAATTTCATGTTGCCTGTATATGCTTTTTTGACTCTCAAAGTGACAACCGCCGCATTTTATGACTCACCAAGAATCACAGCTTCAGCTAAAAATCTTCTTTACTTTTGTACTGAAGAAACAAACTCATCTACATCTGGGATGACCTAAGGGTGAGTAAATTAACATCAAATGATCATTTTTGGGTGAACTATCCCTTTAATTGCAACTGTGCTGCAAATTCACAACATGACTGAACACATCCTGCAGCTTCGGGGCCGTCCCGTCCTCCCTTCCCCCCACCGACAGTGATGTGCTGAAACTGCAGTGAGTGTTTGGGGATTCTGGAGCTCCAGGAAACGGCTCCACTGGAATCAACATCTGGCCAATAGTGACCTTAAAGGGTGCTAGACGTAAACATGCAGTGACGGTGGATAACAAATAAATCAAATCTGGATTGATTGGAAACACTTGATCACCAATCTGTTTGCTCTGTCAGGGGAGGAACAGGAAAACTCTGACTGCATGGAGTGAAAGACACCCTGCATGTCCAATACACAAGAGCCATGTACACCGCTATAACATGCTATCCATTTGCACAGAAATTAATGGGCAAAACTAGGGCTGGGCGATAAAACATCCAGTGTGAAAAGCTTGAATTCAGAGAAAAACACAAATGACTCTGTGATTTAAACCAGTTTAAAGCCAGATGAAACAGCGCTGACAAACAGGAGAAACACTGAGCACAATGAGAATTCTGTAATTCAGTTTTGAAGCCGTTTTTGTACACTTATGTCAGACTAAATATCTGATTGTTTGGTTTGTATCGTATCACATTAGAAATAATAAGAGAAGAAAAATTAAATGAGAAGATGCACTTTTTATTTGTAAAGTATTTAATTTACTGGATTTTCCAAAACAAATTTTACATGGTTTATTTATTAAATGTAAATATATTAAAACTGTATTAAACATGTGTTTAAATAACAATGCGGCACATTGACATTGCTAATACATTTTAAAAATAATTACAAACATATTGTAAGCAACACATTAAATTAAAAAAGTAGTAAAGTATTTTTCTTGTAACATGTAATTCAATGTTTGTTTTATTTACTTTACATTATTTATTAATTTATTCACTTTAAAAAATAAATATAAGTATATATTTTTGATATTTAATATTTTAAAATAACAAAAATAATACATAATATATGATATTATAATATATATTTGATTATTTTATATATATATATATATATATAAATGGGGGGGGGGACACTGTGCTTACAAAGTCAAACTCACAGCTCACTAACAAAATCAGTGGCTTTGTTGCCACAGAAAAAAAAAACTACTCTCGAAGCTAATAACCTGCATCGCAGCTCCTCCATTACAACTTACAACACCGCCAAAAATATATTGTTTGACTCAAAGGAAGATCAGCCTCCTAGGGGCACTTAGAATGACTGGCCAGACAAGGCCGAGTGAAACCACAAGATCATGATGAAGAAAATGAGACCCGGTAATGAGTAATGAATGTGTGTGCGCTCAGCGAAGGTTCAGGCTCAAGTTGCAGCTCATACAAACCATCTATTCAGAGCAAGAGAGCAAGAATGTGTGTCGCAGAATGATGCAGCCTGCAAGAACGACGTATGAAAGCCCTGCCTTCTCGGAGAACAGGCTGAGTCTGTGTCCACCCATCCCACAGAGAGCAGAGTGGATAAGACGGGCCGCTCATGCCAAACACACTGAGCACAGAGGGTTTACCAACCACCTGCCAACAGACTCGCCCCCTCCCGTCCCATAAGAGCTCTCCGCTAAAGCTTGAGTCATCAGAATACCACGTGATTCCTGAGTGACCAATGATAGCAAAATGTCAGAGAGCTCGGGAACACAAGATCAGTCCATCCTGACACGCTGTGCACTGACCCCCCCACATTTTAAGGACCAGGATGCTGTCGATAAACTGACCTGATATGAATCATCACACAAATCATCTATATGTAAACTTTTTTTTTTTTTTGCTATTTGCTATTTTAGTATTTTTTATAATAACTTAGAATAATTTATTCTTGTAATTTATATCATAATTTAAAACGTTATTTTAGTATCATTTTTATTACTATTTTGAAACAGTTTTTATTTGATATTTTCCATGTTCATTTTAATTCTAGTTAGTTGTAGTAATTTTGTTTAGTTTTTTTTGTCATTTTTAGGTTTTGTTTTTGCATAATACTCAAAATTAAAAATGTAGCTGAAAAAGTATTTTATAGTTTTATATTATATTATATATTCATTTTGGTTAACATTTATTTTATTTCAAATAATGAAACTGGTTTTATTTTAATAATTATTTTTATATTTTCTTATTTTATAAATTATTTTTATACAATTTAATATATATACAGTGGGTACGGAAAGTATTCAGACCCCCTTAAATTTTTCACTCTTTGTTATATTGCAGCCATTTGCTAAAATCATTTAAGTTCTGTCTCTGAGCTCTTCAGGCAGTTCCTTTGACCTCATGATTCTCATTTGCTCTGACATGCACTGTGAGCTGTAAGGTCTTATATAGACAGGTGTGTGGTTTTCCTAATCAAGTCCAATCAGTATAATCAAACACAGCTGGACTCAAATGAAGGTGTAGAACCATCTCAAGGATGCTCAGAAGAAATGGACAGCACCTGAGTTAAATATATGAGTGTCACAGCAAAGGGTCTGAATACTTAGGACCATGTGATATTTCAGTTTTTCTTTTTTAATAAATCTGCAAAAATTTCAACAATTCTGTGTTTTTCTGTCAATATGGGGTGCTGTGTGTACATTAATGAGGAAACAAAATTAACTTAAATGATTTTAGCAAATGGCTGCAATATAACAAAGAGTGAAAAATTTAAGGGGGTCTGAATACTTTCCGTACCCACTGTATATATTCTTTAATTAGAAAATAATTTTTATTTATTTCAGATATTTAAGATATTTTAGCACATCAATTTAAAAAAAAAAATTAAAATGACAAACTACTGAAATAAATGTTTTTATATTTTATTTTATTTTAGTTAACATTAATTTTTTTTAAGTAACAATTTTTATGTTTCAGTTTTTTTCTTTCAGTTTCAGTTTCTTTAGAATTTATGTTTCAGTTTTAGTTGTTTAATTGTTACGTTGTTTAATTAAAACAATTATTTGTATAATAATTTATTCTATCAATATATATATATATATATATATATACACACACACACACACATACACACACTTCCTTTAAAAATGCAAACATGTATGAGTCATTTTAAATCTTAGCAGTTTATCATAATGTTATTCATGAAGGAATTTAGCTTGTTAATATGTTACATAATCATCGAAACACTTTACAACTTAATTTAATGCATAACAAAAAGATAAGTCTGACATAAATGTAAAAAAAAAGTTATTAAAAGATTAAAACTAGCAAAAATGTCTAAAATTGATGATTTGATGAGATACATTTGAAGGTGATTTGATATGCCAACTTGTCAACACACATCAGTTGTATATTAACGCAGCAAATTTGCCATTACAATAAACAACTAAACTCTGCGTCACATTACACCCCTTAATAATACGTTTGTTTTGGGGCAAGAATTATTCTCACATTAATCTATGTTTCTGTATGGCTGTCATGTGTAAATAATATAAAGATGTTCTGCAGTGCAACCGGTATAACAAACTCTCTAACAGCTGACACATTTCTAATGTGGTACAATATAAACCGACATATCACCCAACCTAGTTCTCAGGAAAACCACTGTTGACAGATTTGCACCATCTAGCTTTAATGCAGACAATGGTACCACAGCTAACAGAAAAGAGCTTTTAAAATATAATTTCTTGATGCTTTAACCCTTGTTCTGTGCTGGAAATCCTTTATCTAATTTGGTGTTCTGGGTCAAAAATGACCAAGATCTCATTATGCTATATTATCACCAAATTTCAGATTCAATCTTCTGGTTATTCTTTCAATTAGCACAGGTTTTGTATTTGAACTGATAGGCCTCATTGATCCTTTGCTTATGTACCTAATTTTGGCAATGTTCACTTAAAAACTCAATGAGGCCTAAAATCAATCAGTTCGAAAAAAGAAACAAAACCTGTGCTAACTGAGAGAAGACAAGTTGATAAAAACATTAAATCCAATATTTGGTAATAACATAACATAATGAGACATTTTTTGTATGCTGGTCGTTTTTGAGCAGCAATAGATCAGGCTGATTGATTTCTATGCATGTTGTTTCTATGAATCTCTGCTTCCCTAAACAAGGATCCTGTCATTGACCTGAATGGGTTATCAGATGATCATAACATCAAACCATCAGCTGGGACTAACGAGATCAGCTGATACAGAAGATATGCAAGCCATGCACTACTAGCCTGAAGGCTTATGACTGAAGTACTAATGTAGAGGTAAGTGCAGAAGCGCATGCTTTTCCTCATATTTACTCTGGTTTCCGCAACGGGTCAGGAGAGTACATCTGGTTGCCACAAGGCCCCGGTCTGCATGAGATAATGTGCTGTGCAGGCTAATCGTGTCAGTGTGATTATCAGCACTAAGAAATGCTGAGCATGACGGCCCAAATGCTCCCCTCAGCATCTCCTTAACCCCCGTCCTAAAGCAGGGAATGAGCCTTGGGTTATTTTTACTGGTTTAAATCACCCGAAATATGACAGCTGACACTTTAGTTAAAGAGTAAGTGGCAAAAAAAGCCTGTTATACAGGAAGGTATGAACACACACCCTCTACACAAGTTCTTCCCAATAGAAATTTGACTATGAATGAACACATAATCGAAAATATCGGTTACGGAAGACAATTACTAGGCCTATTAAGTCATAAAAAGGGCATGTTTGCATTTCTTAAATAAGATTGTTTTTTCCAGATATGCATTAAGTCAAGACACTACAGGAAAAACAGTTTTTTTTCATTGAGATTTTGCACTGTTTGGCTTTTTATAACGTGTTGTTTCAGACTAGTTGAAAGAAAACAAACAAAATACACTTTATTTTGATGCAATTTATCTGTATATGCAATTTGCATCTGTAGATATTAATTATAATCCAGAAATATCCACTTCAGTAGCACTTACATACATAAACTTTACAGTTTTATTCCCATTTATATTCAGAGGGTTAGTTCATACTTAATTTGCCTGATTTTAAACATAAAAAAAATAAAAAAATAAAAAAAACTTTAACATCAACAAAAGTCATTTTAAACCTGTCTTTATCCAATCTTCAGATTTTTGTTCTGGAAATGTATGCATGTTTTATTAGATAATAATGCCCCATTTGCATTTTGAAACAACATTTCTGAAAACTTTCAATACAAAAAAAGTTTGCATTTCTTAATGTAAACAGTCAACTGGGGAAATATGAAGATCTCTACTGGTTAAATTGGACCCTTATTCACCTGGAATGCCTTAAATTTGGAACACAAACTCCATTTTGAAAGTCAACCGGCATGCAATGGCAATGTAGCTGAATCATAATGCAGAAGGAAAACAGTCTAGATGCAACATGCATATGCAACAGGCTGAACCCACAAAGCAAGCTATATTCTCTCCAACTGAGAACAGTTTGCATTGTTGTGTGGAATTCCATGTCAACAAACCCTGGGGAGTGAAAGTAAAAGTGAGGAGAACCGGCACATACAGACCCATGAGGTGGGGGAGCGTGTGTGTTCAGAGGGGGCCGATGGGGCCCTTAAACAAAGACCCCATTCTGCTCTAAAGGTGAAGGAGAATATGAACCGTTCACAACCTTCACAATGCATATATAGTTCTCCTGGAAGTGTACATTACCGCCCTGATACTGTCGGGTTATGAATCCCAGACACACCAAACTGCTGCACCTCCAACGCTGGCTTTGATGCTGTCTGGAAAGGCGTTACGTACCGTGTCTGGTAATTTAATTGGGATCTCAGCTTAGAAACCACTCATAATGTACCACACATCTGGAATGAACTTCACTCGATGTGCCGTTCATCTATGAGGATCATACATTTAGGAGACAAGTTCTGCGGTGTGACTTGCAATGCTGCATTTTAAACAGCATTCAGTATCAAAGCATAGAGCTATATCTGTATCTGTGTAAACGCATTCATTCCACCTCTGAGCAGCATTAAACAGTCTGTGTGTAAAGACACCTAAATGCCACTTCAGAAGCGCGTCCTTGCCGCCTTTGCAGTGTAAATTTGGCATTAAGCATAAGGAAAAAGACGGTTACAAACATGAGACCAAAAATACACTTTCCCTTATGCATTCACGTACATTTTAACCAAAAGTCTCGGTTGTACAAAAAAGTACACGGGTAATGCACCAACTACCCAACAGTGAACCCCCTAATTAGTCAGCAAGTAGAGGTCCCTTTGAGCAGAAGTTGGAACACAAACCTATTATTACATAACCTGCAACAGCTCTTCACTATATTCTGACTTTATCCAAATGGGCTAAACTTATCTGCATTGCTTTGTGTGGCACTGCATAAGCATGATACAATCACTGGATGACTGCACCATCTGAACTTTATCCCTTGGAGCCAAGTGGAACCCTAGTAATCTGACAGAGTGTCTCTGTGCACGACCAAGTCAAATAAAAGCTTTTTATATCTAAATGTAGGTGATGGTTACGTTTAGAGGCATTTAAATGCATCTGACACTAGTTGCAACACATCAAAACATGCTATGCCGGTTTAAGTTCAGATGGCAATGGTGCCACGGCATTATAAGAAGATTCCTACTTACAGTGCTGTATAAAATGTCGCTATCCCCGGCTTCGGACAGTTCGCTGAGATTTTTGTCCCATTGTAAAAACGTGTCCCCGCTATCCATTATTTCCATTGCTTGATCTGCGTCTGTAGTAAAGCGTCACGCGCAGCGTCGCTTCAAAGGCTCCACAAACGACTATTTGTCAGTGTATCCGTCAAATAACTCGTCGGACCGCTATTCGGAGTCAATGTTGTACTGTCCGCGCAAAGTTGGGTATATGTTGCGCATCTGTCGCCAGTGTTGTCGGAACTTTCCTCTCAGCTTCCTTGAGAAATGTCGCCCCTTCTCTCTTCTCTCTCAGGCGAGCAGGAATTCGGGGGCGGGGAAATGATGGGAGTTGCGAAATTTGTTTACAAAGGACTGTCTGTGTACTGTGATACTTTCAGGAAACGTTACAGACGTTTCCAAGCAAATATGACCATATGCGCTTTTCAAGGAGTTTATATTTTGCTATGGTGTTTGTAAACACTACGCATAAAATGTGCCTTAAAATGCTAAGCTTTTCGATCATATGCCCCGCCCCTGGAATCCGTGGGGCGACCAATCAGATTAGCTGTTATGTTTAAACCTCACGGAAGACTGACAGCCCGTCTGACCAATAGGAGATCGCTATTGTATGATTGACGTGAAATTGCTCCAATTAAAGGTGACTCTGCATTATCGCTTAACAAACCGTGCAAAGCCAAGAGTACCAAACTCTGCACCGCCTTAACTCATGTTTCTGTCAATAGATTTTAGCTGTGGCTAAATACCATGAAAAAGTGAGCTTACTCTCATTTAAAAGTGCATATTCTGGAGGCTAAGAAAAACTGATTAAAAAATGCAACTGGTGTAAAACGCGCACAAACAAATGGAAACTAGTGAAAAACAAAAGGAAGAAATGAAACTGTTCTCTCGGTTTCAAAAGCTAACTCTAGACAAGTTTCTGAAACCAGGTGTTTTACAAATCTTGTACATTTTAAGTAACATTCACAACAAATCCTTTACTGACAAACTATTACATTTATTCATGAACATTAGTATGACACTTTGAGTTAGGAGTCCGACTCTCTAACCATTAGGCCACGACTTCCCCCCAAAACATAAGCAGTTAAGACATGTATAGTCTGTGGTGAAGTCTGACCGGCGATGATAGTTGTTGCCTGTCGCCGGACGTTGTTTTTATCCATGTACTCTCCATAGTCAAGCTTTCCTTCCACAAGAATCCGAGACCTGAAAATAGGGTTGATTCTAGGTTAACAGCAGTATGTTTTTTTTATATATCTATAAATGGCTCCAAAACATAATATGGAACATACCCTTTCTTTACATACTGATACGCCACGTCTCTGAGGCCTGGTTTGAATACTGAAATTCTGTGCCATGTTGTTTTCTGGCTGACATCTCCTGCAAAAATAAAAAACACATTTCATAGTTAAGTTATAATTTTTCAGAATTTTTTTTTTAAACAATTTTAATTTCTGTAAAAGCATATTGGAAAATCTAGAATTAGTTTGTCACCCACATACTTTAACATTATCTCTTCGTTTAACAACTTATTTTTTAATCATGTATCATATGTCCAAGGAGAACACAGATACTTTTTTTTTATGTTATTTTTATTTTAATTTATGCAGAAAACAAAATATAAAAAACAGTAAGTAACCACAAAAATAACATTATTAATTACATAATAATATTTAGCCAATTAAAACAAAAAGGATCAATTTTTACACCCTTCACAAGGATAAATCCTAAACATTCTGTATACCAAAAAAAGTATATATCTATATAAAGCATAAAAAAAATTAATATATAAACAATACTAAATACTATAATAAAATCAAATAAATTATATATATATAAATAAAAACAATAAGAAATATTATTAATAATAATAAAGTCAAATAAAATTATCTATATAAAAAACAAAACATAAAAAAAATAAAAAACATGAAAAAAAAAGTCCAATCAAATTTAAATGGGCGCTTCTCCACTGCAAAAATATGATGGGAGTAGTACACAGATTGTTCTCACCTGTATTTGTTGGTTCTCCCTCCCCGGACCGCCACATCTCGTTTGTTGCCATGGAGAAGATGGTGACGGGGTTTCTGCCCTCCAACTGCCTCATGACGGGGTCCTGTCCCACTCGCCCAAGAAGCTGCACCCGGTTAATAGCTGTGAAGATGATGAAGGACATCATCAAACATGTCACACAAAAGCCAGTGCATACAACGACTGACAGACACTCACATCTCTCCAAGATCAGACTTGCATCTGTAGTCCTGTGTCGGACGAACTGTTTAAGTATCTGTGAGGACGGAATAAAAACAGTCAGCCTATAATAATTCATGCAACACTTCTGCATGTTGTTTGGTTACCTGTGCGGAGGCATTTCTCAGCATCTTCTCTACTCTGAGGATGATGAGGAAGACGTTTGCTGACAGGTCCTTCACACTATAAAAGAAAATGACCTTATCAGAGTAATATAAGCATGATATATAGTTTGTATAGTCTTGGATCTGTTTTTAGTTGATTTAATACTACAATTGATTGCTTCTGTTGTCCTCATTTGTAAGTCGCTTTGGATAAAAGCGTCTGCTAAATGACTAAATAAATAAATATGAAAAGAATTACAATAAAGTAAAAGTTAAAAAATAGACTATTTGCTTTATTCTTAACCATCTAACATATAAAGACTGCCAAGATGTAGTTAAAACATGTTAACATCTCAAAATGAACTTTTTGATGCAATGTTATTATCTCACGTTCATGTATAGTTCATTAAAGTGTCATATTGAATAATTAGTTATTTAAGATTTGTTCTGTAACTACTCACAGCAAATCCAATGAGGAAACACGTTAATCTCCCGCCATTCACTTAACGTTACATCAACTAATCACGTTTAGAAGACGCGTGTAATAGTGATTCAGCGCGTTACAGCGACGATTTATAATCGATATGGTCTTCGCAGTTTATTTAGAAGACAAATGCAAAGATTAACTTCGACTTACAAGTTCAGAAGATCTTGACGCTCAAAAACCCCACGCTGTTTCCGGTGCGCTTTGGAAAACATTCCCCAGTAGCAACAAAAGCGACCGAGCGTCCGTTCCCGTTCTGTAACGTTACTCCTGTCATAATCAGAAAATCGCGATTTTGTTCAGTTATACATACAGCACGTGCCTTCAGCTGTGGGAATTATATATCAAGATGTAGTTAAAACATGTTAACATCTCAAAATGAACTTTTTGATGCAATGTTATTATCTCACGTTCATGTATAGTTCATTAAAGTGTCATATTGAATAATTAGTTATTTAAGATTTGTTCTGTAACTACTCACAGCAAATCCAATGAGGAAACACGTTAATCTCCCGCCATTCACTTAACGTTACATCAACTAATCACGTTTAGAAGACGCGTGTAATAGTGATTCAGCGCGTTACAGCGACGATTTATAATCGATATGGTCTTCGCAGTTTATTTAGAAGACAAATGCAAAGATTAACTTCGACTTACAAGTTCAGAAGATCTTGACGCTCAACAACCCCACGCTGTTTCCGGTGCGCTTTGGAAAACATTCCCCAGTAGCAACAAAAGCGACCGAGCGTCCGTTCCCGTTCTGTAACGTTACTCCTGTCATAATCAGAAAATCGCGATTTTGTCTTCAGCTGTGGGAATTATATATAAAAAAAAGTTGTTTATATTGCGTGTATAGACTCTTTGCTATATGAAGGTCACACATATCTGTTTATGAATGTCACATTAAAAATGAACAGTTTAATTGCCCCATATTTTCAATAAAAAAAATGAAAATCCATAAAAAATGTTTTAATTATTACATATTTGAAATGATTATGATCTAAACAATAAGGTAAATAAAGATAAACCACAAAATGTGTTGTGTTAAAATAATTTATATCAATTCATAGTTTGTTGGATTGGACTTGGCAAGTAAATTAACTCCTTGCATTTTGACAGCAGGGTCAGGTGTATAAAATAGATATACAAAATCAAATAAATAAATACAATTAAAGGTCTAGGGCTTTCTTTGTAAGTCATAGTTGTCTATTATTAAAGGGGTCATAGGATGCCCATTTTCCACAACTTGATATGATTCTTTAGGGTCTTAATGAAAAGTCTGTAACATAGTTTGGTTAATTTCTCAATGGTAGTGTAAAAAAACACTTTTTTACCCTGTCAAAAACAGCTCTTTTCAGATCAGTTTTTGTAGCATTTTCCTTGAAATGTTAATGAGCTCTGCTGGCGAGAGAGACTGTTTACTTTAGCCACATTATTAGGAAAGGCGATTTGCAAAGATTCATTACAAAACATTATACTCACTTCTTCTGATGAGGCTGGATCATGAATGATTCGCGCGAACATAGAATTGGATTTTTATCATTAGGCTATAGGGTGGTTGTGTACACACACTGCCAACACATTTATGACCCCTTTAAGTTTTATTGCATTTTTATTTTTGATCACCTAAAGTGCTTTTGCATCAGAAACTCACCGTGACACAAACAAAAACAGGGTAAATATCACTTAATATTTTCATTGTCAATTACATGCTGTAATTGTGTCAATTTATGTGTGTGTGTGTGTGTGTGTGCACTGCAAATGCTGCATTTATATACACTTGCAGTTTTTTTATTGCATATGCAAAAACACCCATTCAACAATTAGGTTTATAAAAATCTCACAGACACACAAATGTTTATTTAAAATATTTGTTATGTTTAATTTGAGGCCTTGAGGTACATAGAGTTCCTGAAAATCAGTTAAGTGCATCTGTACCAGTGGCTTAAGCTACAGTAAATGTATTCATATCATAATACTGTGACCAGTCTCATATAAGAGTGACCTGCCAAACCTGAATTTGTTTACTGAAAAGTGCAATTTGATATCAGTCTATTTAATGCATATTCATATTTAATAAATAGTTCAATATATCATCTGTTCTGTGATGTAACGCATATTACAGTGATAATAATCCTGAGTGTAGACAAAGGCGATATGCTAAACAGAGTAAAATCCCGCAGTCTCTGTTCAACACACAGTAAGACACAACACAAGCATCTGAAAGTGCAGCATATTCATCCAAAGGCACATTCCCACGTCTGTCTGCAGAAACAAGAAATTCGATGCCAGAGGAACAGAAAGAAAAAGAGCCAGAGCTCAAGGTTTCTGGAGAATGAGATTGAGGAGCTGGGATAGAAGGCGCTGGGCAGGCTGACTGATGGGGTAGTGATGGGGCAGTTTGTCCTTCAGCCCTGACGTCTTCACATAGTACCTATAAAAAACAGAGGATATTATAATCAAAAGTATGACAGCTCTGCCTTAGCCTTGCAATTATTTGAACCTCATGAGGAACCTGAACTCCTCCTTGAATCCCGTCCTGATATATTCGCTCAAACAGGTGCTGTGCTGCAGACAGGCTAACAAAACACGGCAGCGCTGGTACAGAAGAACCGCCTGAGACGGGCTGAGCGGATCCTGGGGACCTGAGAGAAGCAGAACCACCTGCTGGGCCTGATAGCCCACAAACGGGAGCTGCGAAAGAGCGAGCAGGACATACATCCAAACATTCGTTCTGATGTGGAATCTAATCATGTGGATTCATGCAAATATGCCTGAAAATGAAATGGGTATATACTTACTAAGAATGGATGTGGTTTAAGCAATCGAAACACCCAGCCGATGGTAAGGAAATGTCCCAGAGCAGATGTGCAACTAGCCTTTGAACCACAAATGAGACACGTAAAGCTGATCAGTGTTATACATGCATATGCATAAATAATACACTACTGGTCAAAAGTATAATTATGATTAATAATAATTATGATTTTTTAAATATAAGTCTATTCTGCTCACCAACACGGCATTTATTTGATCATAAATCCAGTAAAAGCTCTAATATTGTGAAATATTAGTACAGTGTTGATTATAATGTCATTTAAAGGTTACAAAAACATTTCTCACAATGATCCAACTTTATTTTCACCCAAAATATATCATTATTTAAACATTTATTTATAATATTCTAAACAGAGGGTTTTAAAGTGAAAATGTACAGCTTATATGTTTATTAAAACATTTAAATTTACAAAAATGTGCTTTTTGATCTGTAAAGCAGTCAAAATGATCCTTTTAGCAGTACTTTTGCGCTTTCAACACAGTGCGTATTTATTTCAACCTTTATACCATTAAAGATATTTTTAGTAGGGCAAATTAAGGTGTATAATAAAGAAGACGAAAAAAATCTAAAGACTGCAATATACGTCTTCTTAATTTATTTTATATTGTATTATGAACAATATATATATATTTTTTATTTAAAACAATTAGGGAAGCAGTTTTGTTTTTAATTATTAATATCAAATTATTAATAATAATAAATTAATGATATATCATGGCAAACTCCAAAGTGATATAAGATTAAAAACAAAAGTTAAGATAATAATCTTTTTATTGTACTTTATTTTATATTATGAATAATATTTTATTCATTTAAAAAAAGGGAATCAATTTTGTTTTAAAATACTTAACATTTAAAATAATTAATTATTATTGTTAATAATAATATATTATTCATATGTTAAAAACTTAAATATATAAAAAACAAATATATAATCATTTTATATGTCCTTATTTGTGACAAAAATGTGTTTTTTTAATCTGTAAGTCTTATTTTAGCAGAACATTATCACTAAACAGTAAAAGTATTTTATTGAGTGAGTGAGTGACGTGACATGTGGCCAAGTATGGTGACCCATACTTGGAATTAGTGCTCTGCATTTAACCCATCCAAAGTGCACACACACAGCAGTGAACACACACACACCGTGAACACACACCCGGAGCAGTGGGCAGCCATTTATGCTGCGGCGCCTGGGAAGCAGTTGGGGTTCAGTGCCTTGCTCAAGGGCACCTCAGTCGTGGTATTGAAGGTGGAAGAGAGTGCTGTACATTCACTCCCCCCACCCACAATCCCTGCCAGTACGAGACTCGAACCCCCAACCTTTGAGTTAGGAGTCCGACTCTCTAACCATTAGGCCACGACTGCCCATACAAAAGGAATGTTGACCATTAAACACAAAGCGAGTAGAAACCGACTACGACCACGAACACATACTATAATGCAGCTGCTCCAGGAGCTCTGCAGATGAAGGTATATTCGGGATGATGGAGATACCGCATAAAGGTGTAACTCTTCCTCTTTCTCCTCTGTTGTTGTTCTCCTCATCAGTGCTGTCGGGACTGAAGCGCTGGGACTCTCTCGCTGGTCACTGGAGCTGGAGGAGTGAGCGGGAGACGTATTAAACACAGCCAGAGCCAAATCATCCGGGTTCGGACAGGAAGCTGAACGTCTCTCCGGAATGACGCTGCCTTCTTCTTCCTCCAGACCACCATCACTATAACAGACAAACATATATATGTATTTTTACAGCAAGTCAAACATGTCAAGGTGATTAACATCTTAAAGGGATAGTTCACCCAAAAATGACATTTCTCTCATCATTTACTCACCCGCATGTTGTTCCAAACCTGTATGAGTTTCATTCTTCTGCTAAACACAAAAGAAGATATTTTGAAGAATGTTAGTGAACAAACAGTTGCCGGTAGCTGTTGACTTCCACTGTACGGAAAAAAATGCTATGGAAGTCAATGGGGACCAGAACAATGGGGACTATTTGCTTCCCCACATTCTTCAAAATATCTTCTTTTATGTTCAGCAGAAGAAAAAAACTCATAAAGGTTTGGTGAGTAATTGATGACAGAATTATAATTTTTGAGTGAACTATCCGTTTAAAACTGTCTTAAAAGCTCAGCAAAGAAAAAAACTATTATTATTATTATATTTTATTATTAATAATATTTTATTTTAGATTAAAAAGCAGGGAAACCGTTTTTAAGCATTAATATTACATTAAGAGTATTATAAATAATAATCATTACTATTTAAATGAATAATGTTATTAATATTTATGACATGGCAAGCAGGGTTATTATAGTTAACAGAAATCATAAAAACATTGGTTACTGGAAATAAAATAAACCGTAATTGAAATCAAATTAAATATTTAACATATTAATATTAATTTATTCAATTTTAACTATAGTTGACAAGGAAACATTACTCATTTTTATTTAGTTTAATTTTATGTGCTAAAATAATACTAAAACTAAAAAATAGACATATAAAACTATTAAAAATAACAAAAACACAACCAAATTACTAAAACTTTCACTAAAATGAAAATGGAAGGCATGAAAAACGAATTAAAAATATTAATAAAACCTATAATACATTAACTATAATATATTGCATTAAAATAATACAATAAAATAAATGATAAAAATGTGTTTAAGTTTAATTTGAGGTTTAAATTTTAAGATTAAGATGGCCTCACATGTGTTCAAGGCCTCAAACTCTCAACAAGGTTTAAATCTACTGTAGAAAATAATTTTTCCTGGTCACGATCTTCACAAAAATACTTAAGGGGTTAACTTTCTAATAAACTGATCTAAGACAGATCTGTTTATAATGTAAATAGGTGTCTTCAAAGAGCTCCTCTGAACTGTATAATTAAATAGAGCCTTTGATAAAGCATAAAAGCAACTTGTTGCAACGCTGCACTCTAGTTGCACTGACAGAACATTTCCATGAGGAGGCGCTGATGAGCGACATGTTCAGCGGCACAGAACTTCACTGTTCGGATGCCAGTCAGACAAGGTCGTTCACGTGCCATCATCAACCTCCCTTTTCAATCTCCTCTAATAGGATGCAGGATAACGAGAAAATCTTTCCATAGGCCTCAACCTTCTCACAATTTCCCCAGCGGAAATGCCCACAAACTTTTTTTTAGGTGCACTGACCTACTTTCCGTTCTCATACTGATGTCTGAAAAATGCTCACAGACCGTGTCTGTACAACTGCACACCACCAATTCAACAAAGCCTTCAACTGATAGTTAAACTGTGGAAAAGCTGGCTTTAAATAACGTTTAAAGCACTTCCCATGTGGTTTACTCCTCAATGGCAAGTGCTCACAAATATGTGCTAAACGTGAACTAATGGCCTCCCTCGGGTCGGCTTCGACTCACTGCTCCTCTATAAACATTACAGAGCTACTGAGAGAAATCTCTGGTTCACACTGTTCTCAGAACAGTCTCAGAGACGTCTGATGGCTGGCAGCTCCAGCACAAACACATGTCGTTCAGAACGTCAAGCTGCCGTGTTTTGCTGAGCCAAACAGGGTCTTTTAATTGGACATTTATTGTTCGAGGTTTCCATCTCATCTCGTGCCCTGGCAACAGTGTGAATGACGCCAATCCTCCTCCTCTGCTCACCGCAGTAAAGTCATGACTGTCAACGGTGTAAAACGCATGACAGCACATCGTGTTTGCAGCTGATCTCAGTTTTGGAAACCAAGTGGTTTTCAGCATTCAAATTTTCCAGCTTTCGTTATGAATATCAGTGTTGTTATCGTTAACTAAAACTATAACTAATACAATAACATGTAAATACTAGATAAAAACTTAAACTAAATGGAAACAGTACAAAACTCAAACAGAAATCAAACTAAAACCGATCAAAATGACAAAAGAAAAACTCAAATTAATTAAATGTTACAGTTTTTATTAATATTTTGAGTTCCTTTTTTTATCTTTTGATTTTCTGTTTTCGCGTTTTTTGACATTTTTGTTCGTTTTTGTTTTTTAACACGTCCATATAGTTTTTTATTAATTATTATTTCAGTCTTGGTTTTAGTTATCATTGTACGTCAACTTGAAAATGAGAAATGTTGAAAATAAAATAAAAAGCTTAAATATACATATTGTTTTACGTTTTATTTTTCAGTTAAAATTGAATTTATTTTAGAAGTGACAAGGGTTTTTATGGTTTTAATTTTAAGTAAATTATAATAACCCTGATAATATTAAAATAACACTAATGAATACAAGTGACTGAAGTGTTATTAGCACAAAAACAGCAAAAATGATATAGTAATCAGCATGAAACCACATACACAACACTTAATAAACTGCGAGTGGTTTCCAGTTTACAAGATCCGTCTTTCTTTTATCTGCGTTCATTAAACATGCATATGTAACACGACCTCTCTCCGCTCCTCATTTCTTCTTCAGACGCTCGCGTTGCAGCATTTCAGAGAGCAACATGCTTTTTGCAAATGTCAAGAACAGCTTGTGAACTTGTGATTGAATTAAATAGCTTTTTTACTCTTCAGCGAATGACGGGCACTCGAGCTCCGTCCTGGAAATGATGGCTTATTCTGACCGGATCCTTTGGGTCTTGAGCTCTTTTTCCCAGGATTCTTTGTGGTATGAACAATGCGGATATGCAGTGAGCGTTCACGACCCTGTCCGCTGAGGAAATCAGGCAAATCATTGATCTGTGAGGAAAGACAGAGATCTGTATGCTCACAGTCTAACATTGACCTAATAACATCAGTGTAAGCCGCTTGATGTGGGGATGAATGACCGTTTAATAACGTCTGATCATCAATCAGAATCATTAATATTTATATAGAATATGCGTGGTGTATTTCTGAGGAAAATGCATTTGCACCTATGTTAATAACAGATAAACTGCGTTTTCTTGGTAATTCTGCTATTGTGACATTTAGGCTAAATGCTTCATCCGTCTGTCTTTTCCAGTCTTTCAGTGCTGAACCGTTCCATGACTCATGCTTTGAGCTGTACGAACATGAGCTTACCAAACACACCTTCTTCAAGCAGTTTAACATGACAGGATAAGCAAACGTCCTCACTATAATTAGCATTGTCTCAGCAGACAGTCCTGCTTTATTTGACATTTAGAACACATTGCCTCAGCGGCGAGTGATGTATGTATGATTTAAAAATGATCAGTAAATAAATAATACATGATTATTAGTTAATTTACTTACATTATTATTCAAGCAATTCAGTGAGGGGATGAGAAAATTAATAAAGATACAAAAATAAGTGTGTGAAGTCTGCATCTGCATTTTTGGATGATTCATAACTATGATTTTTCATGACTTTTCCAATCATTTGTGATGACTGAAGAAGGAGATCGCTCTCACAAAGAGTATTTCTTACAAAAAAAACATTATAATAAGACATTTTTAGAAATGAGCATACTGTAACTATACACAAATATACATTTTTTATTTCATTTATCATGTTTCATTTCATTTCCATGACTTTCCTAGATCTAGTTATCACATTCCGTGTTATTTCCAGGAGTGCATGAATCCTGTTCAGAAGAGTATGGCCAAGTTAAATTATGACAATTCATTTTGCAAAAAAGAATTTACGCAAAGTCAGCAAAATATCACAAATTCATTTTTTTATTGAGCAAATATGCAAAATATGTTTATATGTTGTTTCTGTTAATGTGCATATTGAACTGCATTGTACTGTTATTTTACTATATTGTGATTACTATATTGTTCTCTTGTGTTGTTTCAGTAAATGCATTCCCAGCTAACAGGGAACGTTCTCGCAACTTTGGTTAATTTTCTGGACAGGTTCTCTCAACGTTAATAGAACATTTGTTCAGTTTCCTGATTTTTTTTAAATAGCGCTCTCAAAATGTTAGGACAAAAACCATAATTTATACATCATTCACGGAATTTTAGTTTGCAAAATGATCAAATGGAATGTTGCCATAAAGTTTTCTCCAACCAAGAACTTTCAAAAAACTGAACGTTAAGAGAACATTCAGAAATAACCTTTTCATAACTTAACGGGAACGTTCGCAAAACGTTCTTGTTAGTTGGGTTAATCAGTTGTACTCACTTATACTTGTGCACGTGATAATAAAGTACTCTCTATCAGCAGATGAAATGGCAACATTCAGGTGTGTGTTTCTATGTGTGTCTCTCTCTCACCAGCTCGATGCTCTTGATGTGTCTGAAGCTGAGCGCCTCACGCAGCGCGCGCGGCTGATACTCGCTCAGATACACGCGCTCATCACTCAGGATCACATGCATGAAAACCTTCTTCACCGACCCCGAGACCACCACACACGGCTCGTAGACCCGGATCCGCTCGTACACATCCTGACTGGCGTTTCTTTTGAGGAAAGAGTCCAGTTTGCTGTTGTTCTGACGGAGCAGCCCGTCCGCGCTGGTTCTGGCCATGAGAATGTCACCTTCAACACCACACACACCCTACTTCTTCCCATATCCCGCGCGTGCTGTCATATTAAACACCACGCAGAAGTCATTTCTACATTCACTGATTCCCTGCTGTGTCGCTCGGCTGCAAGGTGTATTCTATTCTCGCTCTCTGTGCGTATTTAACTCATGTCAGTTGGAGAGGAGCGGCGCTCTCGTTGCGCATGCGCATGCGCCCTTATAAATAGTGCAGCATGGCTTGGCTCTTTGTTATGAGAGGTATACAGCATGCAACAATAACAAACGATATGCTATAAACGTAAAAACAAATGAATATTAAACTTTTTACACACATATTTCATAAAGCAAAATGGTATATCAAATGATTTTGTTATATATTTTATAACATAGTTGAGAACCATCCTTAAACAAAGTTAGGTATTAAAAAAATCCTGAAACCTAAAAATTGACTGGTGATTTAAAAAAAAAATCTGAAACTTACCAGCAGGTGTGTTGAGGCAAGTTGGAGCTAAACTCTGCAGGACACCGGCCCTCCAGGACCGAGCTTGTGTAAGAGATGTGTGTTTTATGAGTGAAATGCATGCTGAAATGATCGCGGAACCATCGCGCCACCTTGTGGACGTAAAGACGAGTCGGTTTACTTGAGAAGATGCTTCCATTTCTTATTGAAGTAGTGCTAGTTAATCTGGGGGCTGTTAACTAAACTGTTAGACATTATGCCTCTCATCATTACGACATTCTCATGCATAATTTAATGTGTAAAAACACCACTGCCCTCATATGGAGTCTATAGCCTAACAACAGTCATTTTAAACAGAACAATTTTATTACATAAATATATATAATGTACTGTGAATAATAAAAGGCAATCTACTGTTCATTGCAACAAAGCATCTGTAAAACCCAGTCGTTCAGTCACCGCTAAATTTACTGCTGCCAATCCATCATCTTGTTTTCATCATCCTCTGTTTTCCTTCACAGCGTTGTTTCCTACATATGCTGCAATAGACAGATAAAACACTGTGAACATGCCAAAGCTCAACTGATTAGGTCAGCTAATTAGAAAGCTCAAACTCAAGTAGGTCAGTTTGACTGGACCCAGAAAGTCAGATCCTAAGATTAAACATTTTCATGTGAATAGGACTTATCTGTGAAACCATATATATACATTTTTTTTCCAAATAATTGTGTGTGTGTATGATATGGTGAGACATTGTGGGCAATAAAAAATACACATGTATATTTATTTTAATCTTTTTATTTGTTATAAACAAAATCAAGTTTGAAGTATCATAGGTTTATGAGATCCCAATGTCTGTCCATAATCTGGACGTCAGTGTAGTTCTCCTACACTTCTATAATACAAAAAACATAGAAATATTAAACCGATGCTCTAATGTGACATGACACAGTTGCATTTTTTCATTTTATGAGTGCAAGTCAGAACCTTTAACACAAAAATAAAAAGTACTAACTGACAATAATAAAACCTGGAGTGGATCACAGTACCAGGATGGAGTCCTCACCTCTCCTGATGTAACTTTCCTCTCCAAGAAACTACACAACGGGCCTCCTTAGAGTCATTCAGAAATGTCCTTACATATGCAACATACTAAATGTAACTACATTTGGACCCACACATGGTCCAACATCTAGATCTAGCGGTGTGTAGTGATCTAGGTGGCTCTAACTTGAGTCCATCATTTCTCTTGGTTTTCTGAACCCCAGGAGCCGTTTGCATGTAGGGGTCGTAATCTGTCGCCATGACGACAGTTGTAAAAGTTCTGAATAAAAGTGTGTTTCTATGGCCACAGACGCTGTGGAGTGGCGCTGGGGTACGGCGGCAGAGCAGACTGTTCGCCGGGGCTTTCTGCGGGCGGAGGGGTGGAGAGGCGGAGGTAGACGGGCGCGCTGGGTGCAGTCGGCACTGTAGGTGTGGGAACCCTCTGCAGGACCACATGCGGGTACATCTGACTTTCTGTACGGTAAAGACCAGGAAGAGGAGCTTTCAGGAGGTTTTCCTGACTTCTGCAAAACAAACATAGCATTTTTTTTAAAGAAATGTATGTTTTTATTGAGCATGGGTACATTAAATTGATCAAAATTGACAGTAAAGACATTAGTAATATTACAAAAGATTTCTATTTCAAATAAATGCTGTTTTTTTGAACATTCAGCAAAGAATCCTGAAAAGAAAATGCATAACAGTTTCCACAAAAATATTGCACTACTGTTTACTATGGAAGATTGTAAACTGCAAGGTATAAATACAGAACTGTGAGATATAAACTCAGAATTGCGAGATATAAATAAAGCAGAATTGTAAGATATAAATGCAGAATTGTGAGTTACAAATGCAGAATTGTGAAAAATGCAGAATTGCTAGATATAAATGCTGAATTGTAAGATTTAAACTCAGAATTGTGAGATACAAATGCAGAATGGCAAGATATAAATTTATATATAGTATTTATATTTAAAGATACAAAGAAAAGTCAGAATTGCGACAAACTTGCAATTGCAAGAAAAAAAGTCAGAATTGTGAGATAAAAATTACCTTTTTAATTTTTTATTTTGTGGCGGAAGCAAAAAAAAAAAACATAATTACAAATTCAGAATTCAGAGAGAGTCAGATTAAAAGAGGATAAAATAGAAAACTTAATTTCCTCTCAAATAGTGCCAGAATTTTTATTTTTGTGTGATTTAATCGATTAATTTCACACGTAAACACAATCAAGCAAAATTAAAACTGCACAGTTTCTCACCTCTGATACCCATGGTTATCATAACTAGCCAGTCCCCCCATATAGACCGGGCTCTCAGGGGTCAGATGGGGGTCAAGGTGCTGGGAAAGACAGTAAATTTTAGGTGGATGAAAAGCTTCCCAGTCTCCTTCATCTCTCTCCAGCCAGCACTCATTCCTCCAGGATGATTTACACTTGTCTCTCGTCCTGGAAACTCAGAGAAATCATTAGCATCCTCTTTGCCTATTTTAAACTCCCTTGTCGCTTCCTCCCCAGATGTGCATACCTGCCCCGTCTGTCTGTCCGTTCTGCCCTCTCTTTGCTCATGCGCTCCTGCAGGCAGCAGATGATGAAGGACACGGACATGGCGAGGATGATGATGCTGCTCACTACCGATGCCAGTACAGCCACTCTCAGCCCGCGGTCCTCTGGTTTGGGAATGGCTACCATATTTACACAATAGTCCACATTGAAAATCTGGGATTTAATTAGCAGGAGTGCATTTCTTAGGTTAAAAGAGGATAAAATAGAAAACTTAATTTCCTCTCAAATAGTGCCAGAATTTTTATTTTTGTGTGATTTAATCGATTAATTTCACACGTAAACACAATCAAGCAAAATTAAAACTGCACAGTTTCTCACCTCTGATACCCATGGTTATCATAACTAGCCAGTCCCCCCATATAGACCGGGCTCTCAGGGGTCAGATGGGGGTCAAGGTGCTGGGAAAGACTGTAAATTTTAGGTGGATGAAAAGCTTCCCAGTCTCCTTCATCTCTCTCCAGCCAGCACTCATTCCTCCAGGATGATTTACACTTGTCTCTCGTCCTGGAAACTCAGAGAAATCATTAGCATCCTCTTTGCCTATTTTAAACTCCCTTGTCTCTTCCTCCCCAGATGTGCATACCTGCCCCGTCTGTCTGTCCGTTCTGCCCTCTCTTTGCTCATGCGCTCCTGCAGGCAGCAGATGATGAAGGACACGGACATGGCGAGGATGATGATGCTGCTCACTACCGATACCAGTACAGCCACTCTCAGCCCGCGGTCCTCTGGTTTGGGAATGGCTACCATATTTACACAATAGTCCACATTGAAAATCTGGGATTTAATTAGCAGGAGTGCATTTCTTAGGTGTTTTTATCTCTTAAAACAGAAATGATGGCAGTGAACACAGACCCTCACAGTCGGGTGGGTAGTTGCTCCACTGAGCGGTGTCGCTACGTAGGACACAGGTGATCTCCTCGCTGCCCACCAGCTGGTACCCCTCGAGGCACCAGAACACCAACACCGTGCCCACAGTCATCCCAGTGCCCTTCTCTACATAGAAAGAACCTCGCCGAGGGGGAAGCAGCGTCGTGCAACTCAGGCCTGCAAATACAAAGCACAGATGGTTAGAAACCACTTTTAAATGTGCCACTTTTAAATATGTACTTAAATCAATCAGAGAATAGAATAGAATAGAATGCCAGTTGATGCTATCATTTGTTCATGATTGGACTAAATCAAACACAATAGAATAGAATAGAATAGAATTCAACTTGTTGATACCACTTTTGCCATGATTGGACTAAATCAGACACATAACAGAATGGAGTAGAACAGAATGCAACTTCTTACTATCACTTATTCATAAAAGGAAACTTGTTGCTATCACTTTTTCATGACTGGACTGAATAGAATAAAATAGAATAGATTGCAACTTGTTACTATCCCATTTTCATAGAATAAAGTTTGTTGCTATCACTTTTTTATAATTGGACTAAATCAAACACAGAATAGAATAGAACAGAACAGAATAGAATGCAGCTTGTTGCTATTACTTTTTCACGATTGGACTAAATAGAATAGAATAGATTGCAACTTGTTACTATCACATTTTCATAGAATAAAATTTGTTGCTATCACTTTTTCATAATTGGACCAAATCAAACAGAATAGAATAGAACTTGTTGCTATCACTTTTTCATAATTGGACTAAATCAAACACAGAATAGAATAGAAAAGAACTTGTTGCTATCACTTTTTTATAATTGGACTAAATCAAACAGAATAGAATAGAACAGAATAGAATAGAATGCAGCTTGTTGCTATTACTTCAGAGAATATTGGACTAAATATAATATAATATCATATAATATAATAGAATAGATTGCAACTTGTTACTATCACATTTTCATAGAATAAAATTTGTTGCTATCACTTTTTAATAATTGGACTAAATCAAACAGAATAGAATAAAACTTGTTGCTATCACTTTTTTATAATTGGACTAAATCAAACACAGAATAGAATACAACAGAATAGAATGGAATGCAGCTTGTTGCTATTACTTTTTCATGATTGGACTAAATAGAATAGAATAGATTGCAACTTGTTACTATCACATTTTCATAGAATAAAAATTGTTGCTATCACCTTTTCATAATTGGACTAAATCA